AATCTCTAGACTGACATTGTTGCTCTTCAACACTCTGAAGATGTCTTTGACAGCAGACTTTCTCGAAGCAACTTATCTTTGTCTTCCTGACTGCTGTTGTGAAACAAAGCAAGCTGAAATTAACAACTTCAATGTTTTTCTCTATTATGAGACTGCAAATTGGCTTGTGATAAGAATGTTTGGTTTTGTTTTTTGTTTTTAAAGAATGTTTTCTTGATGTTGAGATGCAATCTATGTTGAAATCCTTGACCATCTACAGCGGACACTTCAAGTCCTCCTCTGTTTCTGTGAGCAAGGTTGTGTCTCCTGCATAATGCAGCTTGTTGATGTGGATTCCTCCAATCTTAATGTGACATATTGTTCTTCATAAGGTCCGGGCTCCTGAATGATCTGTTCTGCATATAGATTGAAATCTATCCCTGAGGCACTCCTTTGCTGATTTTGAACCATGCAGCGTTCCCTTGCTACTTTTGAGAAAAAGTTTCTTGGTCTAGGTATAGATTTTGCCTAAGCACAATTAAGTGTTCTGGGATTCTCATTATTCTCAATATTACTCATAATTTGTTGTGACCCACAGAGTCAAATACCTTTGCATAGTCTATAAATCACAAATAAACATCTTTCTGATACTCTCTGCTTTCAGCCAAGATCCAGCTCTCATTGGCAATGATAATCTGTAGCATCCTACCTCTTCTAAGCCCTGCATGCATTTCTGGAAGTTCTCTGTCCTTATACTATTCTAGTCATTTCTGGATAAGCTTCAGCCTCTGTTGGTCATGTGGTTTTGGAATGGAAATAAATAAGGATATTTTCCAGTCAGTCAGGTAGCTGTCCTCCATATTTTTTGGCACAATCTGCTGAGCACATCCAGGGCTGCATCTGTTCGTTGAAATATGTCAAATGGCTTTCCATTGATTCCTAAGGCTTTATTTTTTTTCCAATTTCTTCAGATCCTACTACATATTAGTTGTTGTTAAGTGTCATCAAGTTGCAGACGACTTGCAGCGACCCTATGAAGGAGAGTCCTCGACACTTGGGTGCCTCTCATCCTCTCTCCAGGTTCATAGGGTTTCCGGAGGCAAGCTATTATTGAAGTGGATGCCACTCCTCTCTCCACTACATATTAGATAACAGTATATTTATCATGTCCTTAAAAAGATAATTAGTATTTATGTACTTATAGTCAAGAAGACTCTCTTTTTAGACTGTACCAAGTTAAAGAGCCATAATAATGAATGGTGACCATTTGAGAGCAGATAGATAGTGTATGCAAAATGGAAGACTTCCAAGGAAGAAGATAAGTGTACTAGTGTTTGTTTTTGTTTTTTAAGAGTCCAGTTCTTAGCAAAATACCTATATTATTTTTAGGGTCAATGATAAACCATTATGAAGGTTTCATCTGGCAGGGCACCATGGAAGAGCTATCTTTTCTAATTAGCCTTGATGTACAAATAATACCATTGCAGTGTCTCTGAAAGGAGTGATCCAAGGACTCAGCTCATTTTGAATAACCATGCTCTTTCACACATCTATGTTCATAGCCATGCCTTCTCCAAGAGGAGATCTATAATCAAGGGCCTTTGACAGAGACCTTCCCCTGGTACCTGTGTTGGAACATCTTTAGCAGGATGAAGTGCTGGGGATGGAAATCCTTCAGATACCAGACACCACCCCCTCCCCCCATCCCATTCTGACATCGTATTCAGTTATTTTCCACCATTCCCTTCTCTTTTACCCCAAGGTCTATAAATTTTTTTCCAAGCCAGTTTTAAGTTTGACAAATCTTAAAGTGAAGACAAAGCAGTGAGGACAGTGCATTAGGGAACGTATTAGCAAATATAGACATGAGCCTTTCTGTATCTCAAAGCTAGGATGCCCGATTTCTAAGATCAGCAACAAAGAGTTCAGTTTTGTCTCTGAGCCTTGTCTTAGGTCAGCTATGTTTTCAGTCTAAAAGTAGAGTTGAATAGTGATGTCAACCCCAGTTGTCTAGCATAATGGGGACCTAAGGAGACCTGTTTACTCAAGAAAAGGTGAGCAGAGAGTAAACACTATATGTAGGAGGAGAAGAAATCAGAGAGAGACAGAGTATGTGTGGGAGGGAAGGTTTGAGCCAAAGGAAGCTGGTTGGAAAAGCTTTTCCACCTCAGTCATTACATCAACCAAGTGATAAATGTAACAATGAGAAAGCATTAGACACAGACCTCTGGACAGAAATCCTAGGTTTTCATTGTTGTTTCTGTATTCAGCTTCGCCTAGATTTAAGGTTTGCCTAGATTTGCCCCTTCTCTCTTGTTCTCTCAATTTAACAAACATTATTAAGGATAGGACAGGGTTCGGGTATATTGTTCTTAGGGATGTTATGAGTCCTGTTTGACTTGATGGCACCTAACAGCAACAATATGTTCAAGACACCAGGATACGATCCAAGGAAAAATTTCTCAATAGCATAACATGGGTGACCACATCAGAACCTTATGACTCCCACTTTAGGAGGGAAAAATAATCAACAATGCTGGAGGAAGAAGTCCAGGCTGCATTGAAGGTGATAAGATTAAAATAAATTTTAATTAAATATTGGAGGCAGAAATTTATGTTTGGAAAAATTGAGCTATCAGAACCAGGAAGGAGATACTGACATGCGTAGAATCAGTGCTGTAGGCCCATGAGTAACATCAAAAGCAGGGAGTAGGGGCAGACTGACACAATCTGTTAGCTGGGTAATCAAGCAGGGGCTTTCCTTTGCTCCTTGTGTAAAATACTTGTCTGTCAGATATTGTGACAAAGTTGAGTGTCCAAAGACACGCAGACTAGGACTGGCCATCCAGTTCTGAAACAATAGACCTTCAAAAACCCCACATACAATAGAGCACACTCATCTTTGACTAACAGATATGACATCGGAGGCTGAGCCCTCATATTGGGAAACAGAGAAGGAGGAACAGTTGCAAGCAGGCACTAGTGTTTGGGATATGGAATGTGAGAAGTATGAATATAGGAAAATTGGACATTGTCAAGGAAAAAAATGGAACATATAAAGATTGACATACCAGGCATTGGGAAAATGAGATGGGTTGACTTGGGACGTTTTAAGTCAGAAAAGCACATGATTTACTATGCTTCAAATGAAACAGTGAGAAAAAATAAGGTCGCATCTATAGTAAAATAGACCATTTCTAGCTCTACCTTGAAATACAATGTTATGAGCAATAGGATTATATCCATATACATATTAGGGAAGACCCTGGTGACATGGATTGACACACTGACTGCTGCAATACGGACAGGTTTTTCAGAGGAGGTGAAATTGGCTCAGGATTGGGCAAGGTTCAGAGACACTGGTTATAAGGTAACTGTGGGTTGTAAGCATCTCGATGGTACATATCAAGTCTTCTTGAGTTCAGGAGTAAATCAGCTCTTGCATTTATTTATTTATTCTTCTCCATTCCTACTGGAGCTACCCTTCCAAAATACTCACTTGGACTAACACAATAACTCCTCAACTTTTCTGAGTTTTTGACCTTCTCTCCTCTTCCACCAGAGTCATCTGCTTGAAGCACAGATATGAGGTCCTTCACTCTTTCCTTCAGTAGTTTTCTGTGATTAAAGTCACATTCCACACACTTCGAATGAGTTCCTGCAAAGGTCCTTTAGCATCAATTTCAGTGTTCTTATCCAGATTTACTACCGATCACCCTTAGGCCTATCTCCAAACACTCTGGCCTCACCTTGTTCTATGATTTCCCTCAAATGTATTATAAGCTTCTCTGGTTCTCATGTGTTACTCTAGATGGAGTTCATTTCATAGACCTGTATGCTTAGACGAAGAAATGTCGTTGTTAAGTGCTGTTGAGTTGCAGGCGACTCATAGTGACCCTATGAAGGGAAATCCTCGACGATTGGGTGCCTTTCATCCTCTCTCCACGTTCATAGGGTTTCTGGAGGCAAGCTATTATGGAAATGGATGCCACTCCTCCTTCCAAGCTAGACAAATAAATGCTGTTGTTGTTTGATGCCGTCGAGTCGTAGACGCATAGCGACCCTATGAACGAACAGCCTGAGCACTGTTCGTACATAGAGTTTCCGGAGGCAAGCCATTTCGGAATAATACTTCTTTAAGGGAACGCTGGTGGCCTAGTAACAAGGAGCTGTGTGGTCATTCCGAAAGCAAGTGGCTTGAATCCACCAGCTGCTCCACAGAAGAAATAAGGACAATCTCCTGTGAAATTGCCTCTGACAACCTGCTGGAGAGTCAGCTATGAGTTTGTTCTGACTCAAACAGTACACAAAACCACAAACGTATTTTTGTTAAAGAATTTTTCCCCCCGCATTTTCATGGACTCATGTTGAGTGAAATAAAACATGAGTCTGTGTTTCTTGTATCCTCACACATTTAATGCCTATACACAGTAAGTCCTAACACCATCACATTCTCAAAAGAAAGTTTTAAAAATAAGTCAGGTGACTGGAAATAACCACTCACATGATATAGCTTTAGCATGGTTTCAGAAATAAAGGTTTACTAATAAGATCAATACTATCTTGGTTGTTTTTATATTTAAGCATCTTGTTTAGAGTCAACAAGACCTCAGGGAGGGCCTTTGTATTTAAAGTTGGTTGTTATTATGTTTTAGAGGAATATTCTTCTAAGTGGTACAACACTCTTCTGTCAATATGCTGTACTGAGGTAACCTGGGGTTGCTGTGATGCTGAACCTTGTGCCATTAGGGTGTCAAATGCCATAATGGCTTCCCATGATGGACAGTGTTTGGTGGAGCTCCCAGTTTAAGACAGATTTGGAAGCAAGAGTGGCATCCACTTCCTAAACAACATGCCTCCGGAAACTCTATGAACTTTGATAAATGTTAATAGTTATAGAAAGGCTTCAGGCATTTTGTTCATAGGGTCACTACAAGTTGTGCTCAACTCAAAGGTAATCAACAACAACAACAATAAGGCCAATAATCAAGGAAAAGGTATGCAAATAAGGCATCTCCTACCTGTAAGGTCTGTGTTGGGCCACCACCCCAAGTCACAAGCTTTGCAGGTGAACTCGTCTTGCACATATTCATTCTCCTTGCAGGTGGTACAAATCCAGCAGCAGCTTACTTCCCCTTTCCGTATGACCTGAAACACATGAATATTTTAAGAATGCTTTCTCCAGAGAAACTTCTCTTTCAGAACTAGTTTCTGTACTATCATTTAAAACATGCTGAATGAACTAACTCATTCCTAAAAGGACAAATACTGTTTAAGACCATTATTGTAGTACGTGTACCCAGGATCCAAGGTGGGGAGAGGGGAGCAGAGAGGTAAGGATTGGAGAGGGGAGGGGCTTAATTATAGGGTTGCACTACTTGATGGGTTGAGGGCGGGGTAGGTAAATAAAAAGGTGAAAGGTCCAGTGTGAGAAACAATGTACACGAACTTTGTAAGTAAACCAGTAAAAAGTAAAAATTTTATAAAACAACAACAACAACAAAAAACCCCAACACCCCACAATATAAAAATCAATACCCCAAAACAAACTTGGAAAAGGACCCAGTATGTGCTTAGTAAGTTTGTATTACACCTGATTGTCTCAGGAGTTCTGTCCTGGGTTTGAAGTCTTTTCAATAGTAATTTATTTTATAAAAATGAGATGATTACATATTTTGGCAAAGTATAACAGTTCAACTTATCTTTCCTATTAGTGTTTATTAATTACTTTTAAGTAACTGATATTTGTGCTTTTTTCCCCTTCCTTGAAAAATGGTACAGTTTGTACCACAAAGTTTCTACATAAAGCACAGTAATTCATAAAGACTGAAGATTTGAACTTTTATTGTTTATGACAATTATAGATAATTTCATTCAAGAGTAACTTTATACACATAAACAGACTGCTGGCTAAAAATACAAGCAGTTACTAACCTTGTCTGACTTGCTCTAGTAAAATCAAAGGATCACATCATTTGTTGGAAGAAAATAATTATTTCAAATTACTGAAGAGTTGCTTATATGAATAGTTTAAAACTTCTATTTTCATTCTGCTTAGGAGATCTTCCATATTTATAGAACTAAAAAATAAACACTTTAACTAATTGTATGAGAAGTAATTTTTTTATCATTTTAAAATTAGGTCTTACCTTTATCTCATTTGAAAATTTTACTTCACCCCCCAGGTTTTTAAAAATTGTTATTATTATTTTTATTGTTTTAGTTTAAAAATGCATTTACATTGTTTTTCACACTGGATCTTTCTTATTTGTTTCACTCACCCCTCAAACAACCTATCGAGTTGTGTGATCATATGATTAACCACCCCCCTCCCACACCAATCCTCACCCTCTGCTCCTGCCCCCCTTGGAACCTCATACTCGTTCTACAACAATGGTCTTATACAATATTTATCCCTTGTGGGACTGAGTTAGTTCACTCAGCATAATGCTCTCCAGTCTTTCCCAAGTTAGTAATTTACAAAATCACTTCTCCTGTGTGCTGCATAGCAATCCATTGTGTGAATGTACCATGATTTTTCCATTTACTCCATTGTGCTTGCACATCTAGACTGTTTCCATGTTCTTGTGATGGTGAATAACATTGCTAAGAATATTGTTGTACAAGTCTCCATTAGTGTCTCAGTTTTCATTATCTCGGAGTATATTCCCAACCGTGGAATAGCAGGGTCATATGGAATTTCTATGTTCCACTTTATGAGGAATGGACATACTGCCTTCCAGAGTGGTTATACCATTTTAAAATCCCACCAACAGTGTATGAGAGTTCCCACCTCTCCATAACCTCTCCAACATCTATTACTTGCTGTCCTGTTAAATTTTGCCACTGCTACTGGAGTGAGATGGTATCTCACTGTAATTTTGATTTGCATCTCTCTTATTGCCAGGGATCTTGGACATTTCTTCATGTGTCTGTTGGCTATTCAAATATCTTCCTCCATGAAGTCTTTTCATGTCTTTTCCCCCATTTTGTAATTGGGTTATCAGACTTGTGGAGGCCCTGTAGAATTCTATAAACTTTTGATATGAGACTTTTGTCTGAAACGGATTACCAAATGGTTCACCCCACCCAACCCTCACAGTCAGTAGGTTTACTTTTCACTTTGTTGGAAAAAGGTTTTGATGCACACAGGGATTTAATATATAGGAGGTCCCATTCATCAATGTTATCCTCTCCAGATTGAACATTTCTAGCTGTATTTAGTGTCTGTTCATACCATAGAGTAGGCTGTCTAAGCTTGATTCCACATTATCTTTGATGAACTTGATGGTTTTAAGCTTTACTCCCAGGTCTCTGATCCACCTTGAGTTAATTTTTGTGTATGATGTGAGATGTGGATCCTATTTCAGCTTTCTACAGGGAGCAGTCCAGTTTTGCCAGCACCATTTATTGAAGAGGTTATCATTTCCCCATTTGATAGGTTTTACTTCCTTGTTGAGTATCAGTTTACCATCGATAGCTGGGACCATTTCTGGGCTCTCAGTTCTGTTCCACTAGTCTATGTGCCTGTTATTGTACCAGTGTCATGCTATTTTGGTTACTATAGCTGTGTCGTAGATTTTGAGGTTAGGGAGCGCTATGCCTCTCACTTCATTTTTGCTTTTCAGAAGTGCTTTGCTTATTCAGTTGTCTTTCCTCTCTAAATAAACTTGACAGTTACCCTTTCAATATCATTGAAAAAATAATTTGGTATCTGGTTTGGGATTACATTGATCGTGTACATTGCTTTTGGTAGGATTTTCATTTTCACAGTATTGAGTCTTCCTATCCATGAGCATGGCACATTTCCCCACTTATTTAGGTCTTTTATTTTGTCTTGAAGAAATGTTCTGTAGTTTTCTTTGTCTAGATCTTTCGTGTCTCTAGTTCAAGCTAACTCCCAAGTATCTCAGTGATTTTTATAAATGGTATTGCTTTCTTGTATTCCTTTTCTGAGTTATCTGAGTTACTGTAAAGGAATCCCACTGAATTTTGGATATTGATTGATCTTATATCCTGCCACTTTACTAATTTGGTCTACTAGCTCTAATAGGGTTTTTTTGTTGTTGTTGAGTCCTTGGGGTATTCTGTGTACACTATCATATTGTCTGAATACAGTGACAGTTTAACCATATTTTTGCTAATCTGGATGCCTTTTATTTGCTTCTCTTGTTTATTGCCCTGGCAAGTACTTGTATTATTTTATATTGAATAAAAATGGTGGCAGTAGGCATCCTTCTGTGGTCTTTGTTCACAAGGAAAATGCTTTTAGTCTTTCTCCATTGAGAATGAGACAATTGTACTTTGCATTGAAGTATTTTATACATATGCTTTTAATGTACTTATCAGTGTGGCTGGATTTAAATATATCATCTTGTTACCTTTTCTTCTATTTGTTCTATAGGTTCTTTCTCTCCTCTCCCCCCATTTTTTACTTCTTTTCATGTTGCTGTTGTGTGCCATTGAGTTGCTTATGATGCATAGGGACCCTATCTATGTACAATAGCCCTGAAACCTTTTCTGTCCCGTGACAACTTTACTGTCTTTGACACATCTACCCTTATTACTCCAGTCCCTGAATCAATCCACCTCATCTTCCCCTCTTTCTCTGTCCCTCCACCCTTCTGAGCATGTCCTATCCAAGAACTGGTCCCTCCTTGCAACATGCCCAAAGTATGTCAGATGAAGCCTCAAAATCCTAGCCTCCAAAGAGCAGCCTGCTTTCACCCTCTCTAGGATGAAACTATTCTCCCAGAAGTCAATGATATATTCAATACTCTTCTCCAGGGCCACAGCTCAAAGGCATCAATTATCTTTCTATCATTCTTACTCATTTTCCAGCACTCTGATGCATAACAAGCAATTGAGAAAACTATGGCCTGGAATGGTGCACCTTAGCCTCAAGACTGACATCATTGCTCTTCAGTTTTCTGGAGAGCTCTCTGACAGCAGACTTTCTCAAGGCAATATATCTTTTAATTTCCTGGATGCTGGTATCAAGAGTGTTGATTGGGGAGCCAAGCAAACTGAAGCTGTTAACAAGCTCAGTCTCTTCACCATCTATCATAATGCTGCCAATAGGCCCAGTGGTGAGAATCTTTGTTTTCTTGATGTTGTGCTTCAATCTATATTGAAGGCTGGAGTCCTTGACCCTCTGCAGAAAGTGCTTCAAGTCTTCCTCAATTCCAGCAAGCAGAGTTGTATGATCATCTGCATGATACAGGTTGTTGATGAGTCTACCTCCAATCTTGATGCCACATTCCTCCACATACAGCCCAGCCTCCCGGATGGTCTGTTCTGCATATAGATTGAAAAAGTAAGGAGACAGGATACATCCCTGGTGTACACCCTTCCCAATTTTGAACCATGTAATGTCTTCTTGCTCTGTTCTGACCACTGCCTCCTGGTCCAAGTGTAGGTTTTGCATAAGCACAATCAAATGTTTTGGGATTCCCATTCTTCTCAGAGTCAGCTACAGTTTGTTGTGATCTACACAGTCAAAGTCTTTGCATAATCAACGAAACACACATTCCTCTGATACTCCTTGCTTTCAGTCATGATCCTTCTAACATTGGCTAAAATATGCCTAGCACCATGGCCTCTTCTAAACCCAGCCTGCACATCTAGCAGTTCTCTGTTGCTTAACTGCTCTGGTTGTTTTTGTTTAATTTTCAGCAGAATCTTGCTTGCATGTAATAATAATGATATTGTTTGACAATTTCCACACTCTCTGTTCACCTTTCTTTGATATGAGAACAAATATCAATCTCTTCTAGTCAGTTGGCCAGGTGGTTGTCCTCAGTATTTCTTGGCACAACTTAGCACATCCAGGGCAGCATCTATTTGTTGAAATATGTCAATTTGTTTGCTGTCAATTCCTGGAGCCTTGTTTTTTGCCAATTCTTTCAGAGCAGCTTGAACTTCTTCATCACCACAGGCTCTTGCTCATACGTTGTTTCATAAAATTCTTCTGTGCCAGCCAATTACTTTTGATACAGTGACTGTGTATACTTCTTACAATCTTCTTTTAATGCTTCTTGGATCATTTCTTATTTTTCCCTAAGCATCCTTAAGTATTGCAACTGGCTTGAATTTGCTCTTCAATTCCTTTAGCTTAAGAAATGCTGAGTGAGTTTGGCCCTTTTGAT